ACACTGCAGGTAATAATGTCCTAAGAGCGCACGCTGTAGCTGCACTCACGCAGAGACACGTAGGAGGAGATGTATGGTAAATGGTAAATGGACTGTACTTATATAGCGCCTTTCTACCTTATTGAGATGCTCAAAGAGTTTTACACTACAATCTGTGCCTCATTTACCCATTCATACAGCACTCTATTATATCTTTACAAAGCTAATTGAACAAATCATTCTAAAGAGACTAAACAGAGCTTTATCGCATTCATACAGCGATGGGACACACATTGGAGGCAATTAGGGGTTCAGTGTCTTGCCCAAGGACACTTGGGCATGTGACTGCTGGATGATCCAAACCCCCCAACTCTTGCAATGCAGGATGACTGCTCTAACCATTCAGCCATAGCCGCCCAATATGAAGGCAACAGACCAAGAAGGGATTAAAAAATGAAAAAGTACCAGTGAGAAAGTGTGTGTGAAGTTAATGATGTCCAGTTAACCAGTGAATACAGGGCCCAGTGGTGGGTACGATAATCACAGCCAGTTATGAATCTTAGAGCACCATGTTAAACAGCATCCAACATCTGCAGGGTGTACCAGGGTAGGTGCGTTCATGTAAATAATATCACCGTAATCAATGGAGGGATTACAGAAATGAAATGTCTCAGCAAAAAAAAATAAACCGTCCAGATGACCTGACTGAACATTGTTGGATTGATCAGGACCAACTGAAACAGTGGACCGGTGCTTAATTTGAACCGGATCCTGCCGGAACAAGATCTGGGAACTTTCTTATTTTGACAAGGTGCGTTGCATCAACTGTTTGTTTGGATTTGGCAACTCAAATCTCTTCACCTAAAAGTCCAAAGTCATCTCGCATTTTTATTAAAAACTCAAAAATATAATTAAACAGCACAACTACATTGCAAATCAGTTTGACAGTTTAAGTGGGTTATTGTTAAAATCTTGATTATCTATTAAAAATACAATGAGAGGGAGGAGAAACATGTCGGCGGACAGGTGAACTGCGTCTCGGCTGAGCTCCCGTCGGCCCCACTGAAAAGTTGCCTTTTATGATTATACCCTCACTGCCTTAAAGCTGGATTTTGTCTTTGAGACTGGTATCACTGCATAACTGGATCAACAGATTTGTGATATGGTCTCGAAGCAAAAGAAGTCGAAGGTTTTGGTCTCTTCTCCCGCACGGCCCGCTGCCGCCGCCGCTGCCACCGCTGCTCCCGCCGCCGCCGCTGCCGCTGCCGCCGCTGCCGC